TGTGTGTGTGTGTGTGTGTGTGTGTGTGTGTGTGTGTGTGTGTGTGTCTTACAAGAAAGGGCTATGCTATCCCAAGTGCTGAGCAAATGCGGAAATGTCATCCCTTTAAGGTAACATTCTGGGGTTTAAAAGAAAATCCCTTCACCAGAATTCTGATCCCATTGTCAAACTTGGTCAGCTCACTCGGGGAACTCCAACTCAAAAATACCCTCTGCCCCCGCCAAATTTCATGAAATGTCTATGAAATGAAACTCACATACATAGTCACCAACACTGAGGGGCGGTTTGGAATGTGTGGAGATGGACAGATGCAAACTGCGTAACAGTTACACCACATTGAGGAAGGGGCCACCACAAGGAGACCACTTGGAAGAACTGGAAACACGTGAAGAGGGGGAAGAAGAGATTCGCAGTCTGCTTGAAAGCATCGTCTCTCCTCAGCATCAGGGCACAGGAACAGCACAGAGGCAGGAAAGCGTCTGGGCCTACGATTCAGGGAATTCCTGAAAGGAAGGGGAATGAAAGGATGAGCAGACACTTTGGCACACAGCTTCAAGACTAGCTCTAGGGAGGCTGTGGCAAGGAGGTGCTAAGTTCAAGGCCAGCTTGGGCTATGTAAAGAAACTTTGCCTTAAAAATTAAGTGCTAGTTGGAAATGGGAATAAAAGTAGCACACACGTACAAATACATATATTTGCACTACATACGAAGTAAATAAATGCACCTTGCAATGGTCCTATTTCAAATGCTCATCAGGCAATTAACAGTCAGTGGCCTCCGTATTGGACAGAGCGGTGACTATATCTGCGTTGTCGAAACTTAGACGGCACTGGGAAAATGAAAAGATGAGGAAAGAGGCCAATGAAGAGAAAGGATGACTTGTAAGCGCCCGCCTCACTTTGCTTGATGGAGCTCCTCTCCTGTTGAGACTGCCATTACTCAGAAAGATTGGGGCTCCACCCTAACTCCTCCCCCAAAAGCTGCTAGATAAGTTGCTGTCCCCCAAACCATCTGGTTGGTTGGGATTGTTGGAACAAGGCCTTGAGTTAGGGTGGAGCCAGGGATGGGCTCAGGGAAAGATAATTCAATGGATGAAGGAGGTCCATGCGCTCGCTGGCACCAAGCCCAGAATTCCAGATGGATAGACCACTTTCTTGTCACTGACAGCCTATGAGAGTCAGTCTTCCTGCCTTCAGTGACCAGTGAGTGTTCTGTCATTCCTGGCCACGTGATCCACCTACAAATGCGTTGTTCAAACTAAGTCATAGTTTGGAGTGTCATAGATGGATACTCACATTCCCATTTACTAATGAGGAATTTTGTCTGCTCCTCTCTTACGTTGTTTGTTCACACCAGCCAATCCCTACCACAAGCATTTTTACCAACTGCACACACAGGCTCCCTTTATCCACCCCTCTGAGTGCTACAATGAGTTATGTGACATTTCAAACCACTGTCAAGTAACTGTTGCCACATACCCAGAGCAAAATGACAACATTCTGTAGACTGGCCCCCAGAGAGCTCTCTGTTCTGGGATATGTTTAGCATTCTCTGACAATAATCTACATATTATCACACAGGTCTTGCTTCAGCGTGCCATAGCAAACGCTGGCGATATCCAGCTCCAATAGGGTTCCTGAGACAGTATTTAAGAGAAGATATCCCAAGAGAGTTTCTGAACGTTGCCTCGTATGGGTCAACATTCTTGCTAACCTCCGGCTCTTGCAGCTCTGCGTGTGTGGGCAGCCTTTCCCTGTGCTCTAATTGGCTCAGTGTGCAGTCTTGGCCCTGTGCTTGGGAATCGTCACTGACTTTTAACCCACCTCACCTGGAGTGCATCTGCTGTTTTCTCATTAGTATTTCAACACCGGACCTCAACAGGATTTTGACTGGGGGCTGTGGTTGTTTCCTTTACATCTACCTGGGCTTAATTTTCAAGTTTGCTTTACTGTCTTTTCAAAGGACGGACTCTGAAAGAGGAGAAAATTGAAGGCAGAGAAAAAAACATCCATAGAGAGAAAATAGAGGCCTCCCGGGACTTAAACAGGTCACTGAAAGGAATTACACAGAGAACCAAATGAGTGTAAGGGTTATGTCTTGTCTGTTCAGAAATGCTTTTAAAAAAAAAAAAAAAAGTCGTCACTAATCATTAGCAATTTTTTCTCTTAAGAGCTTAGGAAATAGCTGCACCTTTCCTAACATCTACTAAAATGAAAAGCTTATAATTTTCTACTGTGACCTGAGGGTTTGGCTCTGAACATAAGCTGTGCAAGCCTATGAACGACACGGACTCTCCAGATACACTCTCCTTCTCAGTCTGACGAGGAGCTAACTTCCTAGCCGCTGTGGAGCCCTCAGCACGAACAGGAGCCCCCGTGCTTTGGCCATTTTGACTGTCTGTCACCAAAAGCCTTCAGTAGAGAGGCACATCCTACCCCATAGAGAGCAGCTTTCCAGCTGGCAGAAGGGTGTGTCCCTGGGTTTTTACCTGGGAGCAATGATGATCTTGTCAAGCATTTCACTGAGACCAGCCCAAGTTTTTAGGGTGGGGATCCAGACTGGTTATACGTACCTTCCCTCCTTCTCCCAGTGGAAGGCAGAAACACCTCAAAGCCTGCATGTAAGAACATCTACTAGGAAATTATTTTAATCAGACACCAGCTGAGTGGGAGAAAGGAAAAGAGCAGAGAAGAACAAACAAAACTCCCTTGGTCGTGGATGTAACAGAAGCCAGCGGCAGCGATGGACTGGCACTCCTTCAGAACAGCTGCCGCGCTGCTCACTTTCCTGGTAAGTGGATTCTGCTGAAAGCCACTCTTCACCCTCCAGCCTCAGCATGACCGAGAAGGCCTTTTCAGAGAATGTTATTTGCAGGCACTTCTCTGCTAAACCATTAAAAGTTTATGTTAATGACAAGGTGGTTTTTTTTATGAACTGGGATTTTAAGTGGTGTTTCTCTCTTTAATTGAAGACTCCAGATCATATTAATGCCGCAGAGTCCACTCATCATACCACGTCTCTGACATCCCAGATACCGATTGGTCACTCTGGGAAAATATTGAACTGAAAAAAAGTCCTAAAGTTGTTGTATTTGCTTGTTCAAATTCTCATTGGCGGGGATGGGGCTTTTGAACTAAATATTCCAGGTGTGTCTGAGTTTTCAGTCTAAACACTTTCCCCTTCTTTGGATCTTTTGATTGACAGACTGATGGCATGTTTTAAAGCCATGAAAGACTTCATATACATTAGGATTGCAGATGTTGTGATGAGCCTCACCGTCCTAGTACCCTCTTCCCTTCCAGATGTTGTCAGACTCCATTCAACTAACACCCAAAACCCTACACTGTTTGCAACTTGAATTAAAATGCCATTGCTAATGTCAAAAACTGCAAGTACAGGAGATTTGTAACTAATAGAGCAGGTGAGGGAATGAGCATAATTAAGGGGTAAACGTAATTATTGATGTGGTACAGAAGCCGCACATCTGATGGTCAGACCATGCAGTGCAATGATTTATTGTTGCCCCTCTATGGGTCATTCGCTTTCTCTTTGAGTTGATAAATGTGCCACACCAATATATCAATGTTCAGCAGTAAGCTTTAAAGTCATAGTCTTTCTCAAAGTTCAAAGTAGGATAAATGTAATCTTAAAAGGCAAGTGCCAGGTAAATCCCCCTCCAGCTTTGGCAGGATGTGGCTCTTATCTGTTTTTACTTGCTTAATTTTTGAACTGGAATGTTGAATTGGTATTGTAACAAGTTAGAGTTTTGGTTTACTATATGCTGGCTAATTTGAATTCAGTTTATTCATTAAGAGGGGTCATAGGGCTGGGGATTTCATTCAATGGTGGGACACTTGCCTAGCATACATGAGGTCCTGAGTTCAGTTCCCAGAAGTGAATAATAAAAGGGCAAGGGAATTGTGAGCAGTAACATGTAGTTATAAATGACTCTCAATGGCTTTAGTTCTAAGCTGCCTTTTAAATGTGACTTTTATTCTATAGGCTTTTTAGTGGATTTTTAGGTTCAGTTAATGTCACAACCTGGGCCATGGCAAAGATCAATGAGTATTATATAGCAGATCATTTGACCACAGGAATGTTTGTCTATTGCTAAATAATCGAATACTTTAATTTTTAATTTCATATAAATTTGGCTTATTGTAGCATTTCCATCCATTAATGCAGTTCCAACAACTGTATGCTTTTATTGAATTGATAAGTAATTCTTTATTGATTTCTGTGATTATTTCTAATTAATTGCATCTTATGAAATTCCTCCAAACAGCTATTTCCTGGTTAGTCATTCATCAGTAAAATACATCATTTTATCAAAGTTCTCATGGAACTGTCAGCCCAGAGAGAGAAACTTCTGAGAATTTATACTTTACTCTCTAAGCTTGGATTGTGTGTGTGTGTCTGTGTCTGTCAGCATGTCTGTGTCTGTGAATTAGTCTTGGGAAGAGGGAAGAGGGGGAGTCTGTGGCCATATTTACTGTGGAATCCAGCACAAATTTCTCAGATGCCTTACAATATTTATCTGTTTTCACTTAGGTGTATGTATGTGTGAGTCTGTGTAAATGTATGCAACAAGTGTGTGGGTTCCCTGGAGCTGGAATTATAGGCAATGGTGAGTCAATGAATGTGGGTGCTAAGAACTGATCTCAGGTCCTCGGGAAGAGCAGTGTGTGCCCTTTACCACTGTGCCAGCCCCTCTTTAGAAAGCTTTACTGTAATGAATTAAAACACTTTATTTTCAGGTTAATACAGCATTTTTGGTAAGATGGTTCACTTTTGAAGGTTTTGAAGGTCCTATTTTCACTACTAATTTTAGCAGATGACTTGCAATCCCAGTCTTCTGTCTCTTGTCTCACTGAGTGTGTTTTTCTTTATCAAAGGAAAAGGTTAAAAATAAATAAATAAATAAATAAATAAAGTTTTTATAGTCTTCACTGCTCAAAGTCAATAAATGAAAATACATGGTAGAAATACATTTAGAAAAATGCAAATATATTTAAGATGTTTAAAATGATAATATTTTCATATAAAGCTATTTAGAGAGCTTAGCAATTATGTGTTGGTGGTATATTGCATGACCTGCTCAGCACATGTGGAAGTGGGTGCTTTAAGCTTTGTCCAAATTAGTAAGGTAGACCACAGAGACTAAGCAGAGAAGCTGCTCCTAAAGGGACCAAGGCTGCTGTATGAGCTTTCTACCAATCCAGACTTCTACTGGACAGATGGTAGCTCACATCTGTTACAGCACTACAAGCTGAAGGCATGGGTTGACTCTTTCCCCCCTCCTCTTTCTTCTCTGCCTTTTCCTCCTCCCCTTCTTCCTCTTCCTCCCCTTCCTTCTCCTATTATCTATCTATCTATCTATCTATCTATCTATCTATCTATCTATCTATCTATCTATCTTTCCATCTATCTATATGCAGGAAGTAGTTATAATTTTCTCCTGCCAGAGAACAGTGTTATACCTGTGCATCAAACAGGAAAAAAAAATCTGTGCAGATAGATGTGATGATTATGAAAGGAAATCCTTAACCTCCATGAGAAGGAGCACAGTAAGATCTGAGAACTCTGGGGACTGCTGGGAAAATCACCTGCAAAGTCACCACATCTGACTACTCCGCTAAACATGAGCACAAATCTGATGACATCCTTTTCTGTAGAGGCACATTCTGCAGATTAAGTTCTAAGAACAGAGAAGAAACTTATTTTATCTGTTAACAAAAATGATGCTAGTCATAGTTTTGGATTTTTCTTCATTTTAGATTTTTGATTGAAGGTTTTACTCTGCAGCCCAGGCTAGCCTGCACTCGCGATGTAGTAGCCCAGGCTGGTCTATGTCCTCCTATCTCAGCCTCCTAAATGCTTGGGTTACAGCCACGCACCACTAGACCAGGCTCTAGTTTACTCTTTTTATGATAATTTTATGAGATTACTACTTCATTCAATTAACTAACACCCAATAAACTAGCCCTACAATTTGAGCTTTGTTAAACTTTTTAAGAATACAAACAGGAGTTAAAATGGTACTCATTTATGACATAGTTGATTAACTTTCTTTATTTGAACCTGACATTGTAAGTTCTCTTATTTACATTCACTGACACCAAAAAAGAAAGTACTGAAGTTCACTGACACCAAGAAAAGTACTAAACTGCTGGTATGGACCCAACAGAAGACAGTCCTGAAGGGACTCTGACGCTTTCTTGTACATATATTAAATTGTTGTGCACTGCTGAGGAGAGCATTTCAGACCAAGATTTTATAGGGAATGAAATCAAGTGTTTCTATTCCTCTGGTTAAGCTGGATTATCTCTGCAGATGTGGTATTGGCAAAAGCTTCCTTTTTTTTTTTTTCTTTCTTTTTTTGGTTTTTCTAGACAGGGTTTCTCTGTGTAGCTTTGCGCCTTTCCTAGAACTAACTTGGTAGCCCAGCCTGGGCTTGAACTCACAGAGATTCGCCTGGCTCTGCCTCCTGAATGCTGGGATTAAAGGCGTGCGCCACCACCGCCCGGCTGCAGAAGCTTTCTTTATTCACTGAAAATCTAGGAGTAAAATCTTCCTCTTCCACTTTCCATCCTCACTTAATGAGGGCTGTGACAGTGTAGAAGGCATTTCAGTGACGAGAAAAGCTAGCACACAAATGCTGGAGGGACGCATCAAGATGCAGCTATCGGAAGAAGCTGGCGGATGATGACAAAGGACGTGTGGGTCCCTGTGCACGTCACTTACTTTCTGATACTTCTCTACTCTGCGTTCAACAAGGACTCTGGTGCCGAACATCTGGTGTCATAAGAAGAGACATTGCTTAACGTACAGGCAGGAAGCTTGATCTGCAAGGCATTGTGCTTAGGTTTCTCCTGCTCCTTCCGCTGAGTTAACACCCTCCAGGGTACTGGGTCATGCCGCCCATTCTAGTTATGCTTGGCCTGCAAACTCTTGTAATGGACCTGGACAGGTCCAGCCTTTCTCATGCCAATGGCTGGTGATCCATGCTCTTAATTGCTCTATGAGCGTGGAGTGCAGTCTTTCATACTTGTCTAATTAGAATCACATCCCTACAAATTAACAGCTGATTGCTGCTTGTGAAACTCTTTGACTCTAAGCCATTTGAAGGCAAGCTCCATGTCTGATTAACCTTTCGATCACTCACAGCTCTCTCAACAAAGAGACTCCATACAAGACTGAGAGCCACAGTATCTCACTGTACTGAACAGAAACACCAAAAGGGAAATTGGGGGGTATTTCCTTTCTCACACATAATCGAAAGAATATCCTCTCAAGGTAATCAGTGAAGAAATAATTGTGTTGCCTTCTCCTAATGTTTTGTGGTATTGCATTGCATCCACTTCAAATTTCATTCTAAGCTTACCAGAACTTTCAGGGTCTCAGCTTTCCTAATGCTGAGATCCTTTGATACAGTTCCTCATGTTGTGGTGACCCCCAACCATAAAATTATTCCATAGCTACTTTATAACTGTAATTTTGCTACTGTTATGAATAGTAATGTGAATATCTGATATGCAGGATATCTGATATATGACCTTTGTGAAACAGTCATTGGACCCCAAAGGGGCTATGACCTACAGGTTGAGAACCACTGTTTTAGCACCATTATGCTGTCTTAGAACATTGTAGTACACATTTCTCAAAGAAATGAACAATCGTGAATAAATATGAAAAATTAACTCATGGAGGTATGGCCAATCCCAACATCATATCCTTTGTCACAGAAAGACAAAAGAAGGATTTTGTTGTTTTGTTTTTGTTTTTGTTTGGTTGGTTTGTTTTCGTTTTGTTTTTCGGTAAAGAAACAAATTTTATTTTACTATTCTTTCTAGCTTATCCTTGTGATGTACCTAATAGTTAACAAAGACATTTTATTCAACAAATTGCCACTATCTTACCATTATTAAATACAAAAGATTTTCCTCAGCAAGAAATTACCCTTCAAGTCAAATTTTAGCATATGGAAAAGACAAATTTTAATTTTAAAAAAACTTGCTGAAATTTACTTTAACTAGATAATCATTAAAAATGTCATGAATTTGCATCCTGTAGCTTTAAAATAAATATACTTTGGTTGGCTGTGGAAGCAGATGTAAAGGGAAGAGCTCACTGAGATGAGTTATTTACTGTTGTTACAGAACTTTTGGACTCCAAGGGAATTTAGTTTTCAATGTTTGTGACAAAACTGTGACTCAGACAGATTTCCATAAGTTTCCAGCGGGCACGAGAGCAGAGTCTTTTTAAACACCTCAACAGCCCATGTCTCTGGGGGAATCTCCACAGCTGTTCCCATTGCACAAAATCCAGAATTGTTTCTGAGCCCCAGTTTCTCCACCATCATCAGAAAATCACCGTACCTCTGCCAGGGAAGAGGGCTCTGTCCTTTAGAATACCTTCTCTCTGACTTTGCTTCCCCTATCCATGTATCAAAAGCCCCATCCTTCCTCTCTCTACCCATCCTTCCTCTCTCTACCCCTCCTTCCTCTCTCTTTACTCTTTCCCAGCCTGTCTTCTCCTGCTTTCTCTGTCACACTTCTTTTACATGGCTTTTTTCCAATCAAAACCCCTTCTCAACCTTCAAACATAGTATCTCCCTCAACCACACAATTTTCGCTGATTCCCACACCTAAAGCTCATTTGGTCTTTCTCTTTTTTTATCATCAAGATTCCTTGGAAAGTAATTTTCTGTCTTCCTTTCCTCTCCACCCCTTGTTCTCTTTGGAGAGGGCTGATCTTTGTCTTGTCTACCTGAAAACGTCCTCTAAAATGACACTGAAACTCTACTATTTCCTCAAATTTCACACAGTTCCGTTTTTCAGATCACCTGACTTTTGTGTCTCATCAGTCTCTGAATGCCCCTTCTTTGACAGCTGTGAATCATTTTACCTCCCCCGGTCCACATGGCACACTTTTGTTTCTGCCTTTCTTCCTTCCATCTGCCTCCCTCCCTTTTACTGTCCTTTCTTCCTGTCTCTTTCTCTCTGTGTCTCTCTCCCTCTCTCCTACCTCTTCACAACCACTACCATCACTCCTTCCCTCCCTCCCTCCCCACACCCCCACGTTGCACTTATTCCCAGTTAAACAAATGTAGGAGTTCCCTGTGCCATCCTCACCCACAGGCCGTTTCTTTACTACACCCTCCTCTTTATAAGTATCTAATTCTCCCATGATTTTAACAGTTCTATGGGAGTGGATGCACCTCGACGTTACATACCCAAGCTAGGGTTTTGCTCAATGGTGTTCCTCTAGCACCTCGAACATTGTCCTATCTCTGGCCCTAGTCCACTCTTTGGGACTGCTAGCTCCAGGGACCCCTCCTGCTCTTTATCTGGCATCCCATCTGCTCTCTAACCTTGCGGATCCTGTCCGTCCAGATCTTTCCCTGTGGCTCCCATTGCCTTTGCATCTACTTAGCTCTTCCTCACCTCTACTTTGATTGGTGCATAGAATCCAACAGCCTTCAGCCTGTAATTTCCAAGTCTTCCCACTGCTCCTACTGACTATTGTCCAAGTAAGCTTTCAAACCTATAATTTCAGCATGCCTTTCCCATGACCAAAATACTTCAATATCCTCCTACGGTACACAAGGATTTGATGGTAGGACTGGAAAGGTATTTGTGTAGAGTCTGTCTACCCACTTCCCAAATGAGATAAAGCTCAGAGAATTACTATACACACACACACACACACACACACACACACACACACACACACACAAACACACACACAATATATATATAGATATAGATATAGATATAGATATAGATATATAGTTTTTTGACAACCCAATTATCTTTCCATGTCATTATTTTGTCTTTAAAAGCCTAATACTTTGTATCTGGATTTATTCTACACTCTGATTTAAAAAAAAAAAAAGAAAAGAAGAAGAAGAAGAAGCTCTCATCAACCCACCACATTTTAAAAAGCAGACTAGGCGGTTTTTTTAATTACCCATCCAATTGTGAGTCTGACACTGTGGTGAAACCTACTTGGTCTTTTGCCTAAGTTGCTTCTCATGGGAAAGAGAATGACCTGGCTTCATAAAGTTGGGAAGAGTTCTTAGTCACCTGGCCAGTTACCCAAAGCAGTAAGACCTGGCGCTTCACTCCAGGCAGGGAAACGCAGTAACAGATAGCAGATGAGTAAACAAGAGGTGTAGCTATGAAGAAATGACTTCCAAACAGACAGATGAGGCAGTCCTGCAGGCCTGTCCCACCCACAAGCAAGAGCAAGAGAAGGGTGCCCAAAATACCACAAGCAGCAAGAACTCACTGGAGTAAGTGAGGTCTCTAGTCAAGCTCGGCTCTATAGACAACACTGCAGTTGTCCACCCTAACCATTAAGCTGTGTGGATTCCTTTGTTGCCTTGTATTGCTGTTGTTGCTGCTGCTGCTGCTGTTTCTATATAACCAGTACCAGTGGGTCTCGGGAGATGGCCCAGTGGATGAGAGTAGCACACTATAGCTTTTAATATCAGTGCTAACGTCTGATTATGAGCATGGGTTTCAGGCTTTGCTGTTAGGAGAAAACTCAATTAGAAGTTCCATACCTCTTATTTGAAAAGATATTTACAAAACTTAAGGGTGTACATTGGTGTTAACTGATCCTCAATGCAATTTAAAACAATGAATGCAAAAAAAAATGCTTAAGTTTTAAATATACATTTGCCATGTCTTAAACAAAAACAGACACATTACTTTGACATGCAAATTTTGGTGTTTTAAGTGATGACTTTTTTAGATTTTTAGATTCAAAATAATTTAATATATCCTGATACTTCTGTGCGTGGAATTCAACTTAAATGGAGCTCTATTTAATAGCACATGCTTTACTGCAGAGAGAAGTTCCCTAATCAGAAAAAAAAAACGGCTAAGAAACATTTACCACCATTAACTGAGCCCAAATTTGCATTGTTTAGTTTTATTTTTATGTGTTTTTAGTTATCTGTTAACATAGAATTGAAAACACTCATTAAAAATGAACTATTGTGACTGCTTTTTACAGGTGGTGCTTGAAGTTAACAGTGAATTTCAAGTCCAGGTAAGAAAAAGCAAATTTATTTTTTCCATACTGAAAAATAAAAGGGCCAGGCATAAAGTGCATATCTGTAATCCCAGCATTTCCAAGATTGAGGCATGAAGATTGTGAATTAGAAGCCAGCCCTAGCTACATTAAAAAAAAAAACTCTCAAAACTTACATAATAAACAAACAAATTAAAATAAGAAAGAGAAAAAGAGGGAGAGGGAGAGAGAGGGAGAAGACCAAAGGGAAAGATAGATTAGCAATGCCAACAATACTCAAGAAAACCCTCATTTTTCTAAGTACAAAATTACTGCAATGCTGTGATTGCAAATGTTAAAGTTATCAGAATTCTTAATTTTCCACTTAACTGTCTTCTCTTCCTGACATAATTAGTCTTCCTCCCAAATCTCCACTGGAATACCAATAATAAGTAATAGTTAATAGACACTATGTTTTACTCTCCCTATTCAAGGTAAGAGACTATAATGCCAAAAATGGTACCATTAAGTGGCACTCCAACAGAAGACAGAAACGTGAATGGATCAAGTTTGCCGCAGCTTGTCGGGAAGGTGAAGACAACTCAAAGAGAAACCCAATTGCCAAAGTGAGTGTCAACCCCACAGCATGCATCCAAACAGCACAATGGATAGAGTCACAGTTCTGGAAGGACCCAGCTTGCATATGTTTGGTGCACACATTCTACTGAAAAGTTATGGCCTAACGGCACCTCCCTATTCAAAATACGAAAACCAAAATTCCTAAAGGGATAAACCAAAAAAGTTAGTTAATCGGGCAAACAGCTAAATATTGCCTCATCTCATTGGCAGAAATAATGCACATGAATATTTGTTATGCTAGACTCCAAAAAGACCATGGTTTACAGATGGATTTACAGGTCAACATGTTCAGAGTGTGTGATCTCTCTGCTTAGTAATCTATTAGAACTTAACTCCTATTTGTCTGTATTTATAAACATTCAAAGCATGTCTCATTCATAACCTCAAGTTCCTATCATTTTCCCTACTCCCCTTTCTTCATACACAAACTCAGGAAACTATTCTGACCATACACACAGATTCACACCTGTAGACATATAGAAACATATGCAGATACAAACACAACCATTCATACAGATAGATATGGCAACTGCCTTGTAAAATTTGCTTATATTCATATGTTTATGGCGGTTTGAACAAAACAGCCAGACTTTAATCCTTTATTGAGATTGTCTCTTTACTTTCCCACTTTCAGAATTAAAAGTTTCAAATGACTTGTTACTACAAAAATCTATTTAAATATTTTTCTGTTCTTTGTAGTTTTTAAAGTTTTTTTTTTAGTTAAAGATCAACATTATGTGATAACTGCATTATAAAACTCTCTAAGAAGGCAAGGAATAACCTACTTTAGATAAAGAGCTAGCATAGAGTCCAAAACTAATACAAAAATAAAGCTATAAATGTTTTATGATTATGGCATCTATGCACGACATCTACGAAGACTTCTTAGGGTGACATTTGATTCTTCGTTGTTTGGTAGACATAGAAATAAGGTTTGGCAGTGATGGTGCACTTCTTTAATCCCAGCACTCAGGAGGCAGAGGCAGACAGATCTTAGTGAGTTCAAGGCCAACCTGGTCTACAAAGTGAGTTCCAAGATAGCCAGGGCTGTTACTCAGAGAAACCTTGTCTCAAAAACAAAAACAAAAACAAAAATAAACAAACAAAAAAGACCTAGAAATGGAATTGTATTATTACATTGTTATTTACCATTAAAAATACAATACTGACCATGTACCTACTACTCCATTTCCATGTTTTTGACACCTTTCAAGTGATGTCACAGACAACACATTCAACAATTCCCAAGGACAACAGTTGTCATATGTCACATTGAGAAGTCCACACAGCCCCTGTAACATCTTCACCTGTATCTTTCTGCAGATTCATTCTGATTGTGCCGCAAACCAGCAAGTGACGTACCGCATCTCTGGAGTAGGAATTGACCAGCCACCTTATGGAATCTTCATTATTAATCAGAAAACTGGCGAAATCAATATAACATCCATCGTTGATCGGGAAGTCACCCCCTTTTTCATTGTAAGTGGGCTTTGTTTCAATATCTGTATGCAGGTGTAAATTATTCTTGGAAAAATCTTAGACCATACCAGATTTGATTTCAAGAGTCCCAAAATCGGGATTTCTGAGATCTCTCTTAATTCACAGGTACCCTAATAGATGAGGAAAAAATTAATATAGAAACCTTTCCCTCATATGTTAGCAAAAAAGCTAGTTAACATCAGCTTCCTGACAGACTAGAGTATTTGTTTGGAAGGGCAAATCTTTAGCTTTTACTCAATCTTAAAAAAGAAAATCAGTGGAAATCAACGCTTCCTTTTAGCTGCACTGTCAAGTGATGAGCCTGGAGCTGCTTGCTATTTGTTCCATATGAACATACTTCATCATAACTTCACACTGTTCGAGATCATCTGAACTCTAAAGGAAATTCGAAAACTCACTCATCTTTAATATCTCTCTCAATCTCTCTCTCTCTCTCTCTCTCTCTCTCTCTCTCTCTCTCTCTCTCTCTCTCTCTCTCCTTGTAGAAGCTGACACACAACTTACATAGCCTCTATTCTAATGCTCCACCTCATTTCTCTTTAAGCAGTTCACACCCCCACACAACCATGCCACCTATCCCAATATAGCACTCTCTTTTCTGGCTCAGATACATTGGTCGCTGAGTCTTTTGCATGATCAGCTTTCTGCCTTCCTGGAGCTTTCCCCCAGGACACGTCTGCCACCCTATTGTTCCTTGTCTCTCGAAGAGCATTATCCTATCACTGACTTTTCCCCTTTTATTCTCCTTAGCTGTTTACTGTCTCCATTTCCATCGATCATCATGGCTAATACTTCTTAATCAAAAACTAAAATAAGAAAATAAACTGGGCGATGGTGATGTGTGCCTTTAGTCCCAGCATTTAGGATGTGGAAGCAGGCAGATCTCTGTGAGTTAGAGGCCAGCCTAGTCTACAAAGTGAGTTCCAGGACAACCAGGACTACACAGAGAAACCCTGTCTCAAAATAATGATAGAAAAACAATCTTTCCAATGACCTTGTAGTCTCTTCTATTAAAGTCCCATCAAAGGTCTGAGGATGCAACTCGGTGATCATCATTTGCTTATTGTGTGTAAAAGCCTAGGTTCAATTCCCAGGCCTGAAAAAAAATAATATTCCAAACTAAGTCCATATATCCTTCAGTCCTTGCTGTATTCCTTCACACTGCTCATCTCCATCCCTAGAACTACTCTAACTCCTTAACTTCCAAGTCCAAATCTGTACTCTTGACTTTTTCCCTCCAGTGCCTCCCTACAAATTCAGCAAATCAGCAAACCAGTCCACCTAAGGCACAGTGTATTGTTACACAGAGCAGATGACCTCTGTGAAATACTACACTTTACACATCTTCACAAGGGAAGCAGTAATAATGAAATAAACAGCCACATAACACCTGCCCCCAACACTTAAGAACTACACATTGATTTTAAAGTGTTCCTCTGACTCTCTGACTGCATTCTCCAAGGCCCTTCCTCTGGTACTTTTTCTTGATTTTAAGCATAGAATCTGCAGCATTTCCTTTGTCTAACGTATCAAGTTACCTTTTTAAGTAGCATTTTGTGTGCTCTTGTTTGCCTTTTCTTACTAGTTATATGTGTTACACCTGTCTATATTTTAGTGGGAAATAATAATATGGTGTCCCTTAATCCCATGTGGTACCAGGGCCATATCTCCATTCTGTAAGAACTTACAAATGCATACCTCACCACAGATCCTTTTCCTTCATGTCTAGATCTATTGCCGAGCATTGAATGCACAAGGTCAAGATTTGGAGAACCCACTGGAGCTAAAAGTTAGAATTTTGGATATAAATGACAACGCTCCTGTGTTTTCCATGACTACATTCATAGGACAAATAGAAGAAAATTCTAATGCAAGTGAGTCACCTGTTCTACTAAAGAAATTATGTGCTGATGACTAAGTTACTGTTGCTAGGCAACTGGGCTGAGCTGGGTCAAGGTAAACATCAACTGGGATAGAAAATGTAGAAAGCATTCAGAACCAATGACTCAGTAATTCCAAAGCAAAAAGTGGGATTCACACTCATGCCTCATGGCCTAGCTCCTAGGAGAGTCGTGCAATAAATCCCAAAGGATCTGCACAGTAGTGACAGGCTTAGAGGGATGAGAATTTATTCTCTGCCTGACTGTGATGAAAAGAACCCCACTCACATGTAATGCAGTCTTTTCTTCTTATCTGCTGGGTTTGGCTCCAAGAACCCTAAACATAAAGAGATGTAGGGAGCTCACATCCTTTTACAAATTATGTCTTGTTTGCATATAACTCGCATATATCCCTCCATAAATTTTAAATTATTTCTAGATGACCACAATACCAATGCAATGTAAATGTCATATAAATATTTATTATCCCATGTTTCTTAGATAACAATAACTAACGATATGAACAGGCCTTTGTAGATTCAGTCAAGTTCTTTGAATTTTTCCCACTCACTATGAGCTGAACTGTGGGCATGGAACCCACAGCTGCAGAGGGCATGCTTCAGTAGTTTTGTTTGCTCTTTGTTCACGTTCCTGGGTTTTTACACTGGAAGTGTGTTATAAATGTGATTGTATGGGGCTCACTGTGACTATTTGAAGCATATCTCTCAAATGGTGAGCTGGTACTAAGTAGGTAGCACTGAGGAATCCATTCCCCTCTAGCATTTCTCTGCAAGGGCTCTGACAATCTCAAAGCAGAGTCACTACCCTGTGACCTCCTGAACCTACAAATTTAATTACCAAACACTCAGTGGCCTAAGTGAGACCAGATATTAGCCATTTGTACACCACTCAAGATTATTCAGAGGTATAGATCTAAGAGGGAGAGATGATATGGGGAAAGAGAAAGAGAAGAGAAGGGATGGGATGCCTTGGCACACTAGCAAATTATTTTGGAAACAATTTAGAGAGTAGAGCAGAATTCCAGTAGATGAATGAATGTTTTCATGCCCACTGGTATCATTCATCAAACTACTTATTAGATTTAGAAAGAAGATAAGGACAGGGCAGTGTATGTGATTAAACAAGCATTTCCCATAAGCTCCTAGTTACACAGGACCTACACAAGAGTCAATTCCAATCTAAACAACAATGCCACTTTTTAAATGCCCAAAATGGACAATAATGTTCATTAAAAGTACATTATTTGGTAGACACTCCATCAATATTCTCATTTGCTATTGAATTCTCACATGAGTGTGGTGTTAATACAATTCTCATTTGTAACTATGGGAAGTAAAAACAAGACCACATAGTAAAAATCAGGTCATATAGCACAGTTGGGAAAACACTGAATTTTAATGCTATTTTATTTCACCATAAGCATCTTGTTTAAAAGAAGTTGTATCAGAATAAGAAACAGAGAGTCAGAATAAAAGACTGCCTTTTCCCTTCAGCAGTGTCTAGGCTCCTATTCAAATATGGTCTTTTTATCAGGGCAAAGGTAAAGAAAGAAGTTAATATATTGGTATGCTGATGTTATACAAAGCGAAGAAAGTTGAACATACACTGCTTAAACATAGATAACATATTGGATTGTAATAGTGTTCATTGTCTAATTGTGGCAATTGCACTGGATTCCTAGACACGCTGGTCATGGTACTCAACGCTACCGATGCAGATGAGCCAAATAACTTGAACTCGATCATCGCTTTCAAGATTGTAAGCCAGGAACCTTCGGACTCACCAATGTTCATTATCAACAGAAAGAATGGAGAAATCCGAACAATGAATAATTTCCTAGACCGAGAGGTAATTCTTCATCTTTAAGAGGTTTTCATTCAAAAGGATAAGGTTCTAAAAGTAAGGGTACTTAAGAGAGAGGAAAACTAAAAGAATGTGTTCAAATTTTGCGTATTTTTATGGTATTTATTTATCTCTGGGGGGCGTGTGGTCATATGCGTCCTATGATATGCTTGTGAAGGTCAGAGGACAACTTCTAAGAGTTGGTTCTCTCCTTCCATCATATAAGGTGTCTCTCAAATTGTCAGGCTTTGTGGTAACTACATTTACTTGCTGGGCCGTCTCACTAGCCCTATTTTTACATCAACACTTTAATTTAAATGTTTTTATGCACAGGATATTTTGATTAAGTTCTTTTCTCTCCTCTAACTCCTAGATTCCTCTCCTCCCTACCCACCCTATTTCATTCTCTCTCTCTCTCTCTCTCTCTCTCTCTCTCTCTCTCTCTCTCTCTCTCAGAAAACAACCATCAAAACAAATTAACAAAAAAATAAGATAAAATATTAAAATAAAAATTCACATACACACACAAAAATAGGAGTCTCTTTGGTGTTCACCACCTGCTCCTGGACATAGGCCCTGCCCTGGTGTGTAGTTGATATGTCTAGTGGCATTCCACTGGAGAAAACTGTTTCCTCTTTCCCAGTGGATAGCTTCTTGGTTAGGTTTGTGTCCACTTCACCTCAGTGCTGAGATTTTTGGAATTTTTGTGGCCTTCCACAATCACAGGGGATTCTGAGACCATGAAGAGATGTACTGAAGTTATACCCATAAGTGGGAATTATTATGTTTGTGCACAAGTCTAAGGGAGGTTCCATAATTTTCACTAACTTCTAAAAGTGGAGGCACCACTGAATAGAATCAAAAATAGAAACATCATCAGTGACTCCACTGTCCACCTCTTTATTTGCCTTGGGTACTCAGTGGATCTTCGCTCATGCTATGTATCTTTGACGAAGCATGTCTCTCTCATCTTGAACATTCTGGCCTGCCTCATCCTTTAAAGACTTCTCCCTCTGGACATACAATGAGTAAGAAATGAAGTCTTTAACAAAACGGTTGCTTCTTTGAGATTATGCTAGGGAAGCATCATGGAAATGGACGTGACAAATTCCATATTGAGTGATGTGAGATCTGTGGATTTTCATCTCTGTTACCTTGTCTTCTATCATGGATTTGTGTAAAGGTTGAGCCAGTGTTTTAAAAGACCTCTGCATAAGACCAGCTGTCTATGCCTAGTGTGCCATATCCTGTAATGTGTCTTTTTCAGCAATATAGCCAGTATTCTCTTGTCGTGAGAGGCTCAGACCGTGATGGTGGAGCAGACGGCATGTCTGCAGAATGCGAGTGCAACATCAAAATCCTGGACGTCAATGACAACATCCCATACCTGGAGCAGTCATCTGTAAGCATTTGTTCAATTACATTTATTGCATTCCAGTTCTTATAGGAACCCATTCAGTTGTCAGGTGTACTTGCTACATTTGCTGTTTACAACACCAGTGTAGACATACACTTTCTCTTAAATTACTTCGTACAGTAGGAAAAGTGGATTTGAACGATGAAGTATGCAACTGTCAGTGAGGATAGTGCATCTGAACAGTTAACTGTAAACAAGCAGTGGACAGCCTGGTATAGGCACTCTCCCCCACTTTGCTCTGATATTTTGCCTCTTGTTTCAGTATGACATCAGCATTCAAGAAAACGAACTGCACTCACAGCTAATGGAGATCAGAGTCATTGATCTGGATGAGGAGTTCTCAGACAACTGGAAGGCAATCATTTTTTTCATCTCTGGAAATGAAGGAAATTGGTTCGAAATAGAAATGAATGAAAGAACAAATGTAGGAATTCTAAAGGTTGTCAAGGTATGGCATAATTATCTAAGTAATTTGTTTTGCTGGTCTTTTCTTTTTCAAAACTTCAAAATTACATTGGTATTAACATTATATGAGTGAGTCTATGAAATAATAAAAATTACAATGTTTTAAAATTATATAAAATACAAGTCTTTAATATGAATATATATGCTTATATTGCTTCAGGAAAATAAGTATTAAAAATTTGAAACTCTTTTTATCGATACAGTCCTCCAAAGATCGTATGAGGGGAAAGCATTTCTAAAGAAGAGGGCTTTGAACAACAAAGTGTGATTAAAGTATAATCTTTAAAGTTAAGGTTTTGTTTGTACTTATTTAAAGATTTATTTTTATCATTTTTAATTACATGTATGTGTGCCTATATCTGTGTGGGGCATGTACACATGAGCATAATGCCCTCAGAAGCCAGAGGCATCACATCCTCTTGAGCTGAAGTTATGTGCAATTGCGAGCTTCCCAGTGTTGGTTGCAACAGCAGTATGTGCTCTTAACCAGTCTGCCAGCCCAAAGTCAATAATTAAACATTTTTTTTTTCTGAGACAGGGTTTCTCTGTGTAACAGCCCTGACTGTCCTAGAACTTGATTTGTAGACCAGGCTGGCCTCAAACTCACAGAGATTCTGCCTCCCAAGTGCCGAGATTAAAGGCATGTGTCACCGCCATCCAACAATTAAACAATATTTTAAAAAGCAGGTTTAACATGAACTTTAAGAATCTGCCCATGCCAACACTGAGTCTTTAGCATTATGCTTTAAGACTATTCATCAAATAAATTAAACGTTATTATTTTTCCAAGATGATTAAATTAAATCATTGTAATTTTCCAGCATGCTTTTATGGAAATAAACTGAAACTGTGACAATTGTAGAATTATAGAACCTTCATCCTCCCATCTCACTGTGTCTGTTGGCCAAGGCTAATTTTATTTCTCCTCTGAGTCAACTGTCCACCATATTTACATGCAGTAAAATGTCCTCTGAGATGTAAAGTGAAAACCTGACTCCTGAGAAGGTGATAGTAACATTTTCACCCTGTGGTACAAGACTCTAGGACAAATGTCTTAAGTCTTCAATAATTCTTCATGATTGTATGTGATGCACACAATATGAATCATTCATGGTACAATCAATCCTTCTTCATCTTCTTCTTTCTTTCATCCTGCCTGCAGGAGCCCCTCCATTCCCTGGGGATTCTACCTCTTAGTGTAGACCCAGGGTTCCCCTAGCTCTGTCACTCTGCAATCTCTAGACTTTCCCTTAGTCCTGCTGGAGCCTGCTGTTCAGAAAAACCCTATGAAGCAGATTTCCAACGGACTCAGTCTCTTCCTTCAGGGAGTGTGGGCTTATGCAACTGTAAGTGAGGATGCCCCTTAAGATTTCATTCACTGGGACTATTGCTTCCATTTGCTTAAAACTATTTCCAGATGTTTCTGTCATCTCTCCCAGCACCCCTTGCAGATTAGATTATGTCAAATCCATATTGTAGACAAAAAGATGGAGGCTCAGACAACATGCATCTTACCCTAAATTCATTGCTAGTAAATGTCACTAACACTTAAATCTAGGTTTCCTTATCTGTTAAATTAATTGTTTTTCTGTGATATCTAGAACTGGATGCAAGGGAAACTAATTTCTAATATATTTCCCTACAATTTTATGTTACTCTAAAAATTATTCATCTTATTTGTTCTTAATACCTCTACCTAAAAACTAGGATAGTTCTCCCAAATATGATAGCATACATTAAACCCTTTACTATAATTATAGAGAAGTAATAAGAGTATGGTTGTGTATACATATGTATATATATTTATGCTATACATACATATATGCTATAATTGGTATTTTAAGTTGCAAATAAAAGTAATTCTTTCCTATGGAATTTTAGATGAACAGGAGAGCTCATTGTATGAATATTTTCATTTAAAATACTTATAAACATTAGAAAATATATTTGGTACATGGGGAATACATCAGTTATTTGGCAAATTTTATGAATTGTGGGTTTAGATATCAACTTTCATAAGAAAACTTATTGCTTGATTATTTTATAGTATGAAATAATTTTTAGAACATATTGAAGAAAAAAGATTTATTCATATATATACATTTATACACATATATATGTATGTATATATACATTGACATTCAAAAAGTCACACTAAAGTGAATTTTTAAAAATAGTTTTTCAGGGATAAAACTAGTTAAATGACCTGTGATATATTTTACTTATATTTTGTTATAAAAAGAGCTATTTTCTCAGAAATGTGCTAACATAAATTGTCTCGGCACTGCAAATATATGAAGTGGATCATATGTTGAATTTAAGTATTTGCTTTGGTGAGAAATTAGGATTCATGTCCTACGCTTTCAATCTTTTCAAGAAAAGATCCAGAGCAACTCAATTTTTTCCCTTACTTATATTTGCATGTTTACGCCTTGAACTAAATACCCAACAGGTAAGACTAGACTAGGTAAATTGTGTGGATTTATGTTCAATTTTATAACTGAAACAAGAATGTAATAAATTGCTTTGACTAGTCTCAAAAGATTTCTCTGTCCTCTGAAATGTTTTCTTACAGTAAAACTAATTCTTTCTGCGTTTTCTAGCCCCTAGATTATGAAGCCATGAAGAATCTGCAACTCAGTATTGGTGTTCGAAATGTAGCTGAATTCCATCAGTCAATTATTTCTCAATATAGACTCACAGCAACTATGATCACTGTGACTGTGTTAAATGTAATTGAGGGCTCAGTGTTCCGGCCCGGTTCAAAGACATTTGTAGTAAACAGTAAAATGGGAGCAAATTACAAAGTAGGAGACTTTGTAGCTACCGACCTGGACACTGGTCTACAGTCAACAAATGTTAGGTAAGAATGGCATTTTCCAACTAAAATTATAATCTTAGGGGATCATGAGAAGGGAAGAAGCAAACTTTTTTTAAAAGATTTATTTATTATGTACACAGCGTTCTGTCTGCATGTGTGCCTGCACATCAGAAGAGGGCACTAGATCTCATTATAGATGGTTGTGAGCCACCATGTTGGGAATTGAACTTCTCTGGAAGAGAAGTCAGGGCTCTTAACCTCTGAGTCATCTCTCCAGCCCGGGAAGAAGCAATCTTAAGGGAGAAGGAAGGCAGGGTAATGGAGTGCATGTGACATGGAAGTAAGAACTATTTGGGGGGAGGAAGGGAACCAGAGGAGGAGGACAGGAGGTCTGAGGTGGACAAAGGAAAGAAGGATGCATGAAAACAAAGATACAATAAACCCATTATTTTGTATACTAACTAACCTTAAAAATAATGTTACAAAGTCTCTTTTTTAAAGATAACTTTAATTTCTATTGCATTCTTTGAATACAGATATGTAATGGGAAATAACCCGGCTGACCTGCTGGCTGTTGGCTCAAGAACAGGCATAATAACTTTAAGAAACAGAGTTACTATGGAACAATACCA